TAATTAACACAGCTGGCACTAAAACATTTCCATAGTTAACACAGCTGACACTGAAAGTATTACCATAATCAACACAGCTGGTACTGAAAGTATTACCATAATCAACACAGCTGGCACTGAAAGTATTACCATAATTAACACAGCTGGCACTGAAAGTATTACCATAATTAACACAGCTGGCACTGAAAGTATTACCATAATTAACACAGCTGGCACTGAAAGTATTACCATAGTTAACACAGCTGGCACTGAAAGTATTACCATAGTTAACACAGCTGGCACTGAAAGTATTACCATAATTAACACAGCTGGCACTAAAAGCATTACCATAATTAACACAGCTGGCACTGAAAGTATTACCATAATTAACACAGCTGGCACTGAAAGTATTACCATAATTAACACAGCTGGCACTAAAAGCATTACCATAGTTAACACAGCTGGCACTGAAAGTATTACCATAATCAACACAGCTTGCACTAAAAGCATTACCATAATTAACACAGCTGGCACTGAAAGTATTACCATAATTAACACAGCTGGCACTGAAAGTATTACCATAGTTAACACAGCTGGCACTGAAAGTATTACCATAATTAACACAGCTGGCACTAAAAGCATTACCATAATTAACACAGCTGGCACTAAAAGCATTACCATAATTAACACAGCTGGCACTGAAAGTATTACCATTAATGCTTTTAGTACCAGCTATGTTAATTAATTACAGCTAACACTGAAACTAGTACCATTAATAACAGTTGTAACTAAATCAATTGTCATTAATAATAGCTGGCAGTGAAAGTACTACCATTAATAACACCTGGAACTAAAAGTATTATCTTAATAACTTACACTGAAAATATTTTCATTAATAAAAGCTGGAACTAAAGTTCTTTGATTGACTAATTGAATATTTGTGATTGTAAGAACATTATATCACGGTTGTCCTGGTTTGTCCCACATGTTGGAATTTACATTTCTGAAACTGTAGATAAACAGCTTATTTTAGTTAGTGTACGGTATTGGATTTTGTGATTCTATATTGTTTTAGCTGTATTTATTAGAAAACTGATCTGTATATCGTGTATTTACTTGCAGCTGTAACTTAAAGTATTACCATTAATAGCATCTGTAACTTAAAGTATTACCATTAATAACATCTGTAACTAAAAATATTACCATTAATAATATTTGTAACTTGTAAGTGTTTCCATTGATATGGACTTGTTTTCTCTCTTGCCTTTAGATGACTTGATTTAGGTGCTTCAAAGTTTTCGGGTTTTTGAACTACCTATTCATGTGAAAAGTTGAGAAGTCTAAATCTGAACTCATGTAGCAAAATCGTTTCCCAGTTACTATAGTTATAAACTGAAGTAATGGTTTGTCTAATAATGTAATGTTTAGATTATTTTAAACACCATTTTTGATAACCACAGTACAGGCAACTGAAATCTGGTTTTGGCAATCTTAATTCTTATGCTTAAATACATATGTACATCAGTTATTTCACGAGTTGTAGATACAATAAGGGATTATGCATATTTGTACATGATGTAATTCACTCTCCTCAATTGAACAACTTTTGGGTTTGATAAAACAAAGCCACTATATATTTGTTAAGATTTAGAAATTATAGTTCCACAACATTTGACCAAACAGGAGATACACTAGGGATTACAAAGACTGTTAGTAGAAATGAAACATTTTATTGGAAAAAAATAGTACATTTCCAGATTGTGGTACTCTGTTAAGAATAAAAAAACAAAATTATATTTTGTTTTGGCACAGAGAAAGACAAACTCTTTTATTAGATATTTCAGTCAAATAGTTTCAGTAACACAGTTAAATGCAATTCCTTAACGCGAGTTTTGTTTTAAAATTTGGATCGTTTACGAATGAATTCGTACTAACTGCAACTTGCAAGTGCCTTTGCTCTTAATTTATAAACCATATCCAGCATCATAAACTGGCTAAAGTTTTAAATTTAAAAAGTGCTACTTACACTAGTTACAGTAACACAACAGAAACAAATTCGATGACGAGGAACCCACTTTGAGACTAATAATGGTTGGAGACGTTTTGAATGGGTAATGAAGAAAAACTTTATTATAAGTTTAACATAACAGCAAATGTACAACGTTTCGACAAGGTACATTTGCTGTTATGT